TTAACATCAGTTTGACCTCTTAAAACTCAAAAGCACTGAGGCGTGACATGTTGGCAGCATCTCTCTCCGAAACGGTACTTCTACTGTTGATCCATTCAGTGTAATACATGCTAAAGGTATACAATGATGATGTTCGTATTGCTCTCATATTGTTGTGAATCATGTTATACCTGAAAAAGAAATAACACGTGACGGGCTGCAGATGGAGGGAGCTGCTCCATCATTGTTAGACGAATGCTAGTTCTAATTAAACAAATTCAAGATTTCCCACTTTGTTTTATTTTCATTTGGCCTTGGTCACCTTCTCCCCTTGTTTTGTCTCTCCACAGTAAATAGACCACACCCAGTCACTGTAACCGTCACTCGTGAAAATGTGTTCAAGCTGACACAAATCTTACATTTTGGTGATTTAAATGATACTCTTAAGCTCTAAAACGTCTTAAGACAGCAGCTATAGAAATAAAAAAGCCTCATTTTGGAACAGAACTATGATTGCAATATATAATTACTGTGCAGTATTGAGAAAAAAGCTAACGGGATATAGATTAAGCTAACTGGTCACCGGCATTTTCAGAAAAAGTGCTTTGTCATGCCTGACCTGATCGTTAAAGTGTTAGTTGGGCTAGAAATGTACAGTTTGATGTCCAGCTTGTGCTCAACTCGGGCATTTTGTATTACGTGCCATATGGCATTCAGAACTTGATGAGCTACAGAGACATGTGTGGACCTATCAGTTGTCAATGGGCAGAAATGTTGACTGAAACATTTTACTTTTTGTTTGTTTCCAGATTCTCAGTTGTGTGTAAATGTCACATTCAGTTCATGGTTTTTACTCCAATGCTGTTCATGTTGGTGTCTTTCTGCCCTGGTGGTCTGATGTAGGGAGGGATGGAGAAAGAGAGAGAAAGAAACACAAACCTGTCCGTCTCTGTTCTGTGTATGATATGGACTCATTTACTGTAATAAAGTGATGAAACTGTGTTTGGATTGTGTGCACTGTTTCTCTTTCAAGGTCAATTACCAGTTCTATAACCTATATAGGTTAGGAGTTGCATTTAAAAAATATTATGCTCATTTTCAGGTTCATATTTGTATGTTGTGCCTCTACTATGCTTTCAATTTCCCCCAGCAAGTGAAAGGTGGGGTAGGTAATTCACTTCAGAAACACTTGTTATATTCCATGGAATGCTCTTAACATCCCGATAGCTTTTTCGGCTGTTTACTTTCAAATTCTAGCGCACTCGAGCTATACTGTTTTGAGCTCTGGGAATCTGCCTATACCTAGACAGAGCTGCCCTTGAGCAAGGCACCATAACCCCACACTGCTGTGTATATGACAGCTGCCCACTACTCCTAATACTAGGTTGGGTTAAATGCAGAGTCTATATTTCACTGTCTGTGGTGCTGTGTGTCGGTTAAAAGTTGATTTGATTGGGATCATCCACTTTCCATGCCACCACAGAGAAAGAAATGTGTATACAAAAAATACGAAGGGTTTATAAAAGAAAAATCAATTGAGTTAGGATTAATTGATTAATTGGGAAAAAACGTCTACAGATGAATCCAGAAAGATACAAATATTTGGTTCTTAGTTTAAAATGAGTTCAACCACTACTCCCATAGTAAAAAGAGTAATAATGATACAATAAATAATAGTACAGCAGTCACAGGAGACGTTGTTCAGCTTTGTGTACTTTTCATGCTTTAAATACATTTCCATGACTATAGCCTACATTTACTACAGTAACATTTTCAATGAAGGACCTTTAACAATTGTTTTCAGTGAACTATAAGTACTTTTACTTTAGGTAAAGGATCTGAATACCTTCTATCTCTGCTGTTGGTTAGTAACAGGTTGCCTTCTTTGTCTGCTGTGTTTGTGAAACTGGTGTGTGAGAGACAGCAGGGTGTGCCACCTATAAACGCTCCTCCTAGGTGAGTATTTCTGGGTAAGAGTCACAATGTTCCACTGATACATTGGTTCTGTAACAGATATTGATTCATCTTACAAGAGTAAATCAACTACCTAAAACATTTCTGAATTGATCGGTTACTATAAATTCAAACAGTATTTCCCTGCTGTTGCTTTTTGTATAAAGGTGTCTTTATTTTGCAGTTTTCAAGAAGTGGAAGATACTGAGTGAGATTTTCCGATTTTATGCATCTCAACCTTGAAGATTTATATTACAATTTATGAATGTGTTCATATCTAAGATAAGATGGTACTTTATTGATCCCAATTTGGGAAATTGATTTTGTTGCGGCAGCATAAAAGAACACATTTTACAATAAAACAAAACTAGAAATAAAATAAAATAGAAAATGTACATGTTGAAATAGAAAATATACATGTAGATATTATATATATATATATATACAAATACTCTAATCACCTGTTTTAACCTGAATGTTGTTTTTGTTTGATTTTCAGATTTTTACATTCACTCCATTTCAGTCCAATGTATAACGATGATGAGGTTCTTTCTTCTTCTCTCTCTCTCTGAGCATAGCAGCAGGTAAGACTCGTCCAGAGAACAACATTTACTAAATGGAAATGTTACACATTCTTAAACAAAATCTTTATTGATTTTACATATTTTACACATATAATAGATACTGATAATGATTAAATGAGACCCTAACCCTCAAATGAATAAGTGATTAATGTGTAAAATCTACAATGTCATCACTTTACACACTTGATCTGGAAATGAATGATGTTTTCAAATTCACGTTTTCATCAAGAAATATTGTAGCGTAAAGCTTAAGTGGCATAACCACATGATAAAAAAAGGGAAAAAATCACGGCTGAAGTTAACAGAAAAAATCTGACACAACAAACAAACAAAGTAAATCAAGATGTTTGTCGGGAATCTGCCCCAGATTTGAATTGGAAACATCTTACTACTAAGCTGAAGTGGAAACCTTAACTGTATAAATCTTGTCCAAAATCCACAGACGTTGAAGACACAACATTTAAACTTTGATTCTAATTCAGTCAATCAGGAAATGATTTGCCAAAATACCATTATGTGAAGTGATTAAAGGCGAGAGAAGGACTCAGATCCCTAACTTAAGGACAAGTAGATAATATGGACTTAAAATATTCCATTACAAATAAAGAACCTGAATTCAAAATGTTGCTTAAGTAGAAGTAAAGACGTAAGTGTACTTAAAGTATGCAGATTGGCTCTTTTTGCAGTGTTTTATTATTATAGAATATTATATTATTCTGTTTTTGTCACAAAAAAATACATACAAGAGGTTTTTATTGTTGTAGTTTGTCAATGTGGAGAAGATTTAAGAGACTTTGTCAAAATACTGGGTTTATTTGTAGTATATGCTGTATTCAAATATAAGCAAATCATGTTTTTTATATGTTAAATGTAAACAGTGGTAATTAAATTAGTAAAAAGTATGATTTTTGCCCTTGAAATGTTGTGGCGTAAAAGTATAAAGTAGCATAAAACAGAAATACACTAAAGTAAAATAAAAAAAAGTGACTATATTATGGTACTTAGTTACATTTCACCACTTGTTATGTTTTTTTCTCTCCTCCTGATAGCAGAAGAGAGGGCTGCGTGGCAGTATGAAGGAAGCGGCCTGACTCTTTTGGAGATTGAGATGTTTGACAGGTCGCCCAATTGGGTCGGACACCAGAAACGATACTTTGCTTTGATACTTCGTCAACATGCAGATGAGCTGGATGGATGCTGAGGTAGCCTGACGTTACACTGTTAAGGTGTTGGTGTAACACGAGACTGGATTCCAAATCTATTTCCAAAGATGCTTTAAACCCCTTCTTTACGTCTCACTTTGCTTTCCTGGTTATTAAAAATATTGAAAATATTTGCATTATTCTCAAATTTGAAAAATAAAAAGGTCTACCTTCTATGTAAAAGCTACAGCCCTGATGTCTTCATCTCTTTCTTTAAAATGCTTTCCTTTTTATTTATTGACTTAGTCTTTCCATACATGCACTTTGCTCAAGTTACAACATATATTGTTTACAGGCAATTTCTCTGATCTGTGGGGATGTGAACATTGAGCTGAAGTGTCCCTTCCTCTCTGGCACTGGACCAGTTCAAATGGTAAGAGTTTTGGAAAAAGATCTCTAATGATTTGCTTTACTTTTGATGGAGGGTGCAGTATCTCCTCACACAGTAAAACATTTTTAAATAACCCATCAACTATCTAACAGAAGGCAACATTTATTGTGAAAAGCTGTGAACAATAAGTAAATAAATTAAAAATACCGTTAAGTTATTTGATTGTCTTTTTTATTATGAAATATATAGTTCATCTTTCTTGGTTTCTTATGCAGAAAATGCAAGGGAATCCAACAAAAAAAAAGTATATAGTGTTTGAAGCCTCACAGTGAAACCTCATACTTGATGAGACGGATGAAATATGCTAAGATTTCAGAATATATACACTTTATTTCTGATTACAGATTTTTCATTACAGATTTTTGTGATACTTCACTTTGCACTATTATATCACATATTTATATCCGCTGAAACTATTTATAAAAACACAACTTTCTGTGGATGTCTCTGCCAGCTTACTAAATGATAATTAGTTACTTCATATCAACTCCATTTGTCTGGAATGCAAAAGTGTGGTTTGATTCAAGACCTATCTTATAATATCTAGAAAGACTCTTAAACTTGTGACTTTTTTAAGTCAAATACTATCACTCTTTTATTTTACTTATTACTTTACATCCTTAGACTTGACAAGAGTTGGTATCAGATAAAGCTGTATCTGCATACACGAAGGGACATTTTAAGAGTTTATCAGAACATATATAATTGTCCAAACTTTAAAGTGTAACATGTATTCAATATAATGTTGGCGGATTCATTTGTATTTGTTGTCGCCTACCTATGCTAGTCAAATTGAAATATATTGAGTCTGAAAACCACTGTATTTGTTTCGGTTCCTCCCCCGGCCTGCTGAAGGCGCTGCCGTGTCGCAGTCAGGTTTTCACTCAATGTGGCCCTTAAAACCCTTCTTTGAAGTTTCCTCTGGCATTCATAAAAAAAGACCGACAAAAGAGCGAAGAGAGAGTCAAATCTCGAAGGTAAATCCGCCTCAAAAAAACCAATACGTATTCATTTATTCAACAGCCACACGTTATGTTGGCGATACCTAACAGCGAGTTGTATTCGAAACTGTTTATTTTTTATTAACCTTCCACATGGTATTGCTCTGTTGCTCAGAGGCTAACGTTGGCAGCTTAGCTAACAGTGTTAGCAATGCGGTGCCGGTGGAAAGGCCTGTTTGGACGATGCTAAGCTAACAAGCTAAACTGCTTGTTTTTAACAGCGTGCTAATTACTTGATAAAACAACGAAGTTAACATACAAACATGTTATTTCTTGAGTAGTTTGATAACTTAAGCGACATTTTAAATGTAGCATTGTCAACTTGGCATTTGGCGAACAAAATGGCCATACGCAAAAACCCAACTTCTAGTCATATTAAAACTTGTAATGTTGTTTATACTTTTTAAGAGGAAGTATCTGAGCTACAGTACACTTAAAAATACTGTTAAATATGCAGACAACCAATTTACCACTGTTTAAAATGATGGAATATCCCACCATATGGTAAAAAGAGTTCTTCTGAGTTGACAGTTTATTCGATTAACTATGCCTTGTAGTTCAGTTTCATACAACATGCCTGCAACCATCAAATCAGAGCAAACTTCCTCACATACTGAAGGTTCAGATCAAAGAAAACCCATTACAGATAGTAAATAAATAATTGTTTCAAAATAGATTATAAGCTGCTACTTGAAGTCTATAAGCTTGCATTTCTGTGTTTTTTCTTTCTTTCTTAGCCATGCATCTGCAGTTTAAGAGAGTACACAAAGGCTTACCTCTAAAGAAGAAGTGTGATTCTGTTTTTTGGTTGTGTTAATGTAACATTCAGCTATTAATGTTGATGAAACAATTTAATCTGCTGAACTATTTTAAGATGCTTTTGAATAGTTTCTACTGAACCCCAACACAAATTCAGCTTGGATATTCTGTTGTTTTTCAAATGTATGTAAAATAAGATTTGTCACCCCAAATATATATTTCATCCTGCATTTAAATAGGCTACACTATTGTCATTTTGTTAGCAAACAAAAGCTGTTCTCACAATCTGTGCCCTTAAAATAATCATTGGTCTCTTATTTCCACATGTCAGAGTTGAACGCCATGGCTCGCGGGCAGCAAAAGCTACAGTCTCAGCAGAAGAACCTCAAGAAGGCAGCAGACAAGAAGAAAGGCCAGGCAGCTGACCAGAAGACCGCAGCAATGGCCGCCCTGGTCCATACCTGCCCCGTCTGCCGGGTGAGTGCCAGCCGATGACTCAGCTCGGATCTTGCTGAGGCTTGCTTTTTCTTCTGAACGTTTTTTTTAACTTCATCAGGTGTGTGTGTGTTAAAGATGCACCCATTAATTGAACACTGATGGCCGGAATATGGCAGTTTGTCATGACTCTCATAATCAGATTCTTGCCCTATAGCTCTTATGATGATATCTTGCTCTGCCCACACATCATGCATGCCAGTGTGAATGACCTTTAGCGGTAATGACGAACTCTTAAAGCTTAAACACCCTGTGACAGCATCCCAACAACTGTTGTGCAATGAAATATTGGGCTACTAGTAATCTTGAACCGTCAGTTTAAAAAAGAAGGTGCCGATAAATATCAATAATTTCGAACATCGCGGGGAAATTCCTTCGACTCATTTTGAAGTTTTGGGGGAAGCCGGAAGTGACGTCAATGCGGGAACGCTTCACTGTGCGGCGAGAGAGCCAAACACGGACAAAGTGTGTTGTCATGCGTAGAAATGGTGAATTACTGAGTTTAGGCACGTTAATAACGTTTTAATGAAGTTGACTACAGTATATACATATTTGTCAGTGCTTTCATGTCAATTCGGCGAACATAAACATACATGATCGTGGTGAAGATGATGATTACATTAGGATTCAAAATCGGTAGTGAGAGCTGCTGAATTTCCTCCCGTAGGATGTGATATAAAAACAAATCGATTATTTTTGTAGTTGTAAACTCAAGTGGATGAAACTACATTTATTAGTGCTTTCATGTCAATTCGGCGAACATATGATACATTAAATGATCGTGAGGATGATCGTCTGCATTTCCTGATGAGAAAACAAACCGATGCTTTTTGTAGTTGTAGTACACCAACATGGATTAAACGTGTGGTTTTTTCACCACAATGTTGGGGAAATTAATGGATAAAATGCACGGATTATTATTATTATTATTCCCACTCCGATCGGGACACTAGGTCCACCGTTTCCCCGCAGCGAGGCTCCCCCCGTTGACAGTTTACGTGGGCTGGGTGCAGTCGCGGACTGGCCATCGGGACCAATCCCGATGGGCCGGTACCGAAGTGGGCCGGTCGGATAAATCACTAGCACATCCCCCATAGGCGGCGCGTGAGGCTCAGGTTTGGGAAGGCTAAATAACTTTTTTTACCTGACGCTAGGGCTGTGCGATTATGGCAAAAATCATAATCACGATTATTTGGGTCAATAATTGATATCACGATTATTTTGACGATTATTCATTGACCATTTATTGAACTTTAAAACAAATAATATTTTACCAATAAACAAGATCAACAAATATGTTGGAGCGCACTTCCAAAACCATACTAAACATATATTAATATGATAAATAAAAATACATTAGACCAAAATAAATGAAATCAAATATGTTGCAGTGCACTGTCACAACCTACTGAAAACTCCTTAACATATAGCCAACATTTTGGTAAAACATATTCAACATATTCCACTCAGTTAAACGTTGAAGGCTGGCCCACCGTCATGGTCCAGAAGTAACAGGACATAAATGTTGAACTACAATTTAAGACCAAATAAAAATGTTTAGGCCACCATGGCAAATGCTGGTAGGGCTGCTCATATCATCTCTTAAAGATTTTTTGCAAGAAACACCAGCCTGTTTACATGGTCTGGTTTCAGAGATGAGCGCAGGCAGGTGACAATATTGCCACCTGTACTGAAGACCCTCTCTGAAGAGGAACTTGTGGCAGTGCTGCCACATATGACACAGGAAAAAAAGAAAAGACTCTGAAGAACCCTTTCTTTGCCATTATATAAAAATAGTGTTGCTACAAAAGTATAAATTAGGCTTACTAATAAGACAACTCAGATCTGAAGCTACACAGGAATCTGCTGCAACAGTGCAATAAAAAAGACAACATTAATAGAATCAAACCCTTTTTTTGTTGCATTTTAGTAGAGTATAAAAAGAAATGCCTTTAAAATAGGATGCAAGCAACACTAGTTTCTGAACTGATAGACTATAATCAATTTAAACAGAACAGATCTTAATGTTTGCATTCTTATACCATTTTGTACAATAATTATCGTGAATAAATTCAAACAAACTAAAACTTACAGCTGATTAATAACGGTATCTAAATTGAGTTTTTATTATATCAAAAACCTGTTGAAATGCTGCTGTTATTTTTACTGTCCCACAAAAGCGCCTCCGCAGCCTCCAGGAAAGCTTCTTTCACAACTTCGCCGTCTTTGAAAGACTTCATGTGTTTCTCAAGAACGTGACTGACACGATAAGATGCTCTGGTAGCAGCCTTGCTCTTGTTGTTGGGCCTGGTGAAAATGGACTGCTGTGCATTTAGCTGTGCTCTCAGGCCCCTCCCCTTTTGGAGCGTAGGGCAGAATCAGGAGGGAATTCCGTCTCGTAGCGTTTGTGCACTGTTTTGAAATGCCGCTCCTAAATTACCCTTCTTCGATAAAGCCACGCTCGCATTGCAGATGAGACAGATGGACTTTGAATTGGAATAGATACAAAAATAATGATCCTCCCACTCGGAGTGAAAATTATATATTTTGGGCTTTTTTGCTTCTGCCATAATTGCGGTCTTGTGTGTGTGCGGACTGTCACTCCTGTTGACCATCCATGCTGTCGACACGGACAACGTCAGCGAACTAGTGCACTGCTCACCAGCCACGCCCGGACACATGGGGTGAGGCCGGCCAATCACAAAGCTTTGATGCGTTCAAGTGCATTATTCTGGCACGGGAACATTATGTTACAGGACATTAACGATAAAACAGAATATTGTTGTTCTGTTTTTAGACACATCTCGCGATCGACTGGGAATCTCCCCGCGACCCTTCTTTTTAACTAGTTGCTGCTCTTGTTCTGACATCTTCGCTCGCGCTGAACACTCACAACACATGTCACTCCCACGTGGCCGAGTGGGCTTTTAGGGAGGGGCGAAAGCGCACCCAGCTAAATAATCGTATTTTGTCAATTATGCTGTTTTCCTAATCGTCGCAAACCATAATCGTAATCGCGATTTAAAATACGATTAATTGCACAGCCCTACCTGACGCTGCCCGGCTCCGGCGTCTATAGAAAAGAGATCAACTCAGTGTGCGGAGTTGAAATCTCTCAAGTCATATTACAGGATAAAGGAAATACAGTTTAAACTGCCGTATGCAGAGAAGACGCCGACGTATCGCACTTATCATTCATATTACATCATCGATCAGATCATCGATCATATAATATCATAATATATCCTATATTTCCTTATCTGAGTCAGCTTCTCCAGCCGTATCTGGCCGTGCAACACTTAGTGTCACATACTGTATGCAGAAGTATTATTTTAAGCAACACATTATGTTGACGAAACACTCGAGTCAAATGTAATTAAAGTCAGATCCACTCGTGTCTTAGACGTGAACGCGCTCTCAACTGGTGAGAGAAACCCTGGCTTGATTTACCGAGTTGATAACCAGCGTCGTAGGACCGCTTAGCGAGATCTCGTTTGTTAGTTTGTTGTTGTTAGTTTGTTTGTTACTCAAACATATCCAGGGTATGTTGAACTGGCTTCGTAGTACAGGGCACAGGTGGCTAGCAGCGCTAATGTCAAAGACACAGACATTGCATTATATTTGTATTTTACCAGGATGCAGTGACACAAATATTTACATATTTACATTTACTATCTACAGCACCCGCCGCCCCTGACATCCCCCACTCCCCCCGTTGACAACTTACTAGCGGTACCGAAGTGGGCCGGTCGAGAGTCCCGGGATGATTTTTAGTCCCAGTCCACCACTGGCTATATGACCGTATGATCGCCCATATTGACTCACCTAATTCCTAAACTTCTAACAGATACAACATAAACCGATCCTTCAGCCTCATATGAGCTCTCAGACACGTTCAAAATTAAACTGTCATCGCTGTCTGAGCTTGCTGCTGTGTGCGCCATCGTGCGTTTACATGCAGATGCTGGGATCCTGAACGGTGCAGCTGGAGCGCTGTGCCCGCAATGACGTCACACGTAATTTGGCGGGACTTGAAGAATCCCCGAGCAGATCCAGGAAATGGTCAACATTGAAGGGCAGATTAATGGTTATCAAAGTACAAATATCCAAAATCAGTTCAGTAACGGTTTTCAAGGGGACAATATTTACTCAAATGTATGGGTTTGGATGATGGGGGAAACTCGTGTCACAGGCTCTTTAAGTAACCCATACTTTGTGTTTTTTTATTTTTTTTACTGATAGAAGATCTTGTAACTTGTCTAGATATTATTTTCTAGTTAGTTTTTCAATAGTCAATGTTTAATTATGAACACAGTTTAATTTACATTTTTAGAAAGTTAGAAAAATGTCGTGCAATTGCTGTCCAGTGCAGTTAACAGAATTGGATAATCACAATGATATGATGTAAAATGTGATGATTTTGTATTTAAGTGATAAGTACTATTTTTCTCTGTATCCCAGTTGGAAAACAGAAAAAACTAAGAAATGTTGTCTAGCAATTAAATCTGCTAAAATGTATATATTTGTTGTTAATCTGGTTTAACAAATTCTAAGTAATGTCACAGTAGAAGCAGGATATTAAGAATATGTAATAGGGATGCCAGAAACTGACCATGATCAAATTCGAAAATCAGACAGCCCTGGCGAATATTAATCGATTATTCGCCGCCCCGCGAAAAAAAGAAAAACATAAATAATTATAAAAAAATATATAAATAAAATCGAATTTAAAAAATAATTTTCGATTGTAACGAATAATCGCTGGCATCCCTAATATGTAATGTGTGTGTAACTATATATTTATTATGAAGATAATTTTTGTGTTTAATTTGCAACCACCGAAAAAATCTAACTAAAACCATGATTTGTTTGTTTTGTTTTCCAGACACAGATGCCCGACCCCAAGACCTTCAAGCAGCACTTTGAGAGCAAACACCCCAAGTCCCCCATGCCCCCCGAGCTGGTGGATGTTCAGGCCTGAATGTCTGCTGACTGGATCTGAACCAGGTAAGACCGAGTAATAACGTTTTAGGAATCCTCTCAAAGTAAATGTTTTCATAGAATTAATTTGATCAAGATGAGATCAGAAATGGCTTATTCACCAAACCTCTACAAAACCAAATATATTTAAGCACCATTTTGAATGTTAACAATCAACTCACGTTTGATTAGGCTTGCAAACCAGTTAAGATCTAGAGCCAAGAAATTGTTATTTCAATGCATTATACATAAATATGATATAGAAATCCATGTCGGGGACCTTTTACAGGTATGGCATATTAATTAGTGAGTTGGTGTCACCCCAGCATCGGACCAAAATTGGTTTGCATTCACGCACTGGCTCTAAATCAACCTTGGAACCTCAGTGGGAGAAATGTAATACAGGAGTTACCATACAAGGTCTTACCTCATAAAACAACTGCCTAAGCAAAAAGGTTTTCACTGCATTTCAAACGGGTTTCTCTCCTGCTTTAACTCACAAAGGGATCCCCACACCGGCACTAACTAGATGGGCTAACGGCAACCTTACATTTTCTTAGGGTGGTAACTTCATAAAAGTTGACAAGACATTTAAACTTAATTCAACAACGTCAAAAAGAGGTTCAAATGCACACAAAAAAGAAAATAAATCTGGTGCAGCCTTCGTACAAAAAGCAGGAAACTTGACTATAAAGAATATAAAAAGATTAACAACTCACTTTTACATTTTTCCAACCATAACATAATACTAAAACAAACTGTTTGTTACAGATACCCAATGACCAAGGACAGACATTGAATCGCTGCACCTGAAGGATGTTGATGATGGACACTGGGACCCAACAGTATTCACGGACATCATTTGGGGATGGAGGGGGCTGGGGGCTTGATATGTGGATGTGCTGTGTACGTACATGTGTGTTTTGTAAGAGAAGACAATAAGAGCGGGCAGAAGTACACCAGCACCCACTTTTATATTTATTATGTAAAACTACCTTGCTAATCCAGGTGGGGGAGGGGACCTGCAAAATGGCCTGCTATCACGGAATAAAACTAAATGTTGAATCAGTCATCTACGTGGACGTGGCACTGCTGTTGAGTTTAAACCCTGTAACTCCAAATCATTTGATTTTCACACATGTTGCCCCCCCCATCAGTGCGCACCATCCAAAAAGAAGGGTTTAATGACAGAAAGATCTGATTGTTTCATTTCTACTTTTATTTTTGTTAATTGTAAAATGTGGAATATGAGTCAGACTGTACAGCTCTGCCTCCTCTGAGCTCCACGGTGTCCACTCAGTAACACCAACTGTACCTCACGTTAAAACACAGCAGATCTCACTGTTTGTTGTTTATTTTTCTTCCACTTCAGCTTATGATAATGTCCTCCTCTGAGGGTATGTTTCCCAACATCATCTTGGCAATAACAGCATATTTGTCCAACTTCAGTTAAGACAAGATTAGCTCTCTGCTCATTTATTTGTTCAGCCTTTGGCAGTTTGCTTGTTACATGTTGAACAAAATGTTAATTGACTCAAAGGATTAAAGAAAATAGAAAAATATATGCTGACCGATTTTTGACTTTTTTGTTCATTATATATTCACTAACAGTCAAACACTTCACTCATTTGCTTTCACTGTCCTTTTTCAATTGTGAACCTTTTTCAATAAATTGAACAATGTCATCAATCAGGGCGTCCGCGTGGTCTTAACAAGTATTCAAAGTTGATCAATCAATTTAGCGAAAATCAAGGCTATTAAAAAGTATGAAACGGCATTTTCCAAGGTTTTACATTTTGTAGCTTGTTTTCAATAAGTATATGAATTGTCCAAAGAGGTTGTGTTCTACAGTCTGCCTGAATGTAATCATTGCGTAGGTGTGTAGTGTGATTCTGTGTCGTTTATTGATGGCATCCCGTTGGATTGGACGTCATCTGAACAGGACATGGCACGCTCACTGCTTGATAGCGCGGAGGTCCGTTTACGCCGGTTGTTAAACATCGTTATGGGGAAATGCATGTCTGCGTCCAAATGGTTGGAAGATAAGGAGGAAGGACAATCAATACTGTATATAGTCAATGTGAGGTGAAGTGTGTCGCCAAGGTAACCGGTTAGAACTCCAAGTGGCGATGAGGTCTTAAAATGTGTGGAAAGGGTCTTAAAAAAGGTCTTACTTTGACTTCAGGATTCCTGCATGTACCCTGTTAATGTGATCGACAGAGTTTCTGTATGAAAGGTGTGTTTTATTAATTACATTAAAGTGTAGTATATGACTAGATTATGTGTGTATAGTTCTTCAGCTATTATTTTAATAATCTTTGGTTTATGTGAGGAAAAAACCGGAAATACCTTTTTCACATCACTAAATTGAAATGTTATTGCATCATTTGCACTGCTCTAAAAGTGTTCAGTCCTTTTTTTAATGAACATAAGTCAAAAGAAAATGTGAACTTATTTTATTAATTCAAAAACAATTATACATATTCTCTTTATATAGACATTAGAGCTGCAACAATAGTACTGTTGTCCTTTAATGTCTTGTTTACAGTCATAATTAGCATGTTCTGAAATGCAAACCCATCTATGAGAAGACTGCTGTTAAGAAACCAAAAAAGTTGTAGCTTTCCCAAGTTGGGTAAAGGTTGTCAAACACAGGTTTCTGCTATTGAGTGCAAAAGCCAATCATACAATTTGGACACAAACTAACTTAGCTTTTTAAATGACATTTAAAAAGCTAAAGTATGGATTGGATTGAAAACACACAAGCCACTGATACTAAATCAGAACTCAAAGTATTACATATATGTTAAATTAGATTTATTTTGCTTTGTAATCCAACTTGTTTACAGAAATATTTACTGCTGGAAGAGTGCATGTCTGGAAAGAAATAATCCACCATGGACATTTTGATACAAATTTTAACTTTCCATGTGGAACCTTTTCCACTCTCATAGACACCCACAGGTCTTAACCACCATGTTGCGGTGTTTTTTGAGGATGACGTTGTTGTTGTCGTCGTAGAAGAGGACGGAGATGGGGCTGAGCTTGGTGGGGGCGCAGCACGCTTTAGGAACCTCGTCCGGCTTCAGCAGGTGGACCTGCAGCAGAGAGGACACAGTTATTAACATACAGGTATTTAACCAAAGCTCTGATCCTTAAATGTATCATAGGTAAAATAACTAATAACTGATATGTTTTATTCAGTTTTGTGGCGAGGTATTTTTTGGTCAGGATTAACACTATATAACAATATTGTGATTTAAAAATGTATCAAATGTTGGTCTAGAAAGTCACCCTTAACTAAAGCTGTCAAATGAATGCTTCTCAGTGTCAATTTTGTTTTGATGTACAGTTTTTTTAAAATATGAATTAAATATGAATTATCCCCAACACTCACAATTCAAGAAAACAGCATTAAAGGGTATTACGTCTAGAGTATACATAAGAACAAATGTTTACTTCTCATAGAGTATTGTAGTATGAAGTCATTAATGATACACTTTCAAGTCGATGTGTGTGTTGGCTGTACTGACCACTTGCTGGATGAGCGCGTGGTTGGTGGCGTTCATGCAGGAGCCCAGAGGGTAAAAGCACTCTCCGTCACAGTAGTAGGCTGAGTATCCAGTGGGGGCCAAGACCCAGTCCTGAGCAGAACCACAAGAGTCTAGTTACAGGCAGGGACATCACCACGACTATCTAGTGAACTATCACCACTATATAACATGATTCAATCAAGGAAGAATCAGAATGGCAACTATCAATAAGACATGGATAAGTCTTTTAGACATACTATACTATGTTGTATTTTCGGCAAACTATACTTATTTTTAAAATGATATTTTCCACATATTATATTATGTGATTTTTAATAAACTTTTTAAATTATATTTTCGACATATTTTCTATGTTGTTTTTTCTGATTTTTTCAACATACTATGTCGTTTTTATAATAATAATAAAACATGAGACTTATATAGCGCTTGGCAGCAGCAGAGCGGAGGGGGCGGGTGGGAGTGTGTCTGTGGAGGAGGTCAGTCAGGTAGGATGGGGCCAGGTTAGGGAGGGCTTTGTACGTCATCAGGAGGATCTTGTCCTGAATGATCTGGGGGATGGGGAGCCAGTGGAGCTTGATGAGGGTGATGTGTTTATGATATTTTCTATGTCGTTTTTTTCTGAAATGTTCAATAAACTATACTATGTCGTTTTTTTCTGGTATTTACAACATTCCATACTACGATGTTTTAGGGTGTTTATGCTAACATAGCATTTCAATTACTTGTACTCTGTGCGATGACAATAAAGTTGAATTTAAGGTTGTTTTTGATAAATGTTCGATTATGTAATTTTTTCAGATATTTTCGACATAACTTTACTTTGACTTTTTCTGGTATTTTCGTCATACGCCACGTTGTTTTTTTCAAAATAATGACACACACTCTACTTTTGTTTTTTAATTTTCTATATATTATACTGCATTTTTATGTCTCATTATTTGAACACTGTGCAATGACAGTAAGGTTACCGTTGGTTTTTCAGAAATGTTTAACACGACAAGTGAAATCTAATCTTATTTAGTCTATGATCCTTTTCAGCAAACAATGACGTTTTTCCCCCGATGTTTTCAACATACTATGAGGATATTTCTGATATTTGTTACATGATGTTCTATGTAGTTTGTTCTGAAGTGAGTCTTTTTTATGATCATTTCGAAATACTATAATATGTCTTTTTGTTATATTTTCAACATACTTTAGTGAGTAATCTTATGATTGTTTCCAAGTTATACTATCCTCCAGAGACCCACGCATTCATGTGTGTCCTCTGGAGCACATTGGGGTTTGGTCCATGACTTTGAGGTTATACATGGCACAGCATTACGTCCAATTGTACTCCACAGAGGACATCCTGGGCTTTTCAAACTTATGACATTTGTGGGGGTGTGGCTTTGAAAAAGATAATTTCATTGTATTTCAAAATGGCGTCCATCAACACAAGCACTATTTATAGAAAGATAAATGGTACGTTTGTAATTTTGTAATTACCAGTGTTGTGAGTTCAATATTTGTATTAATTATAGTAAGAGAACATCTTAGGAGTTAGTGTAGTGAGTTTCAGAGCAGTGTAATAATGATTTGACCTAAAACTAAATGTTGTTATGAATGTCCTCTGAGGAGGACATGGGGATTTGCTAACTTTTTATTTCCCCCATTTTACACGACACAAATGGAGTCCACTATGGGCCAAAACTAACACGTAGGTTTCTGTAGGGTTCATGGCAGACGGATGCAGTGGGAAAACATACATCAAGTGTCAGATGTATCTCTGCATTTCAAAAAAGGATGGAGTACTACAAATGAGGGCTCAGTATTTCTTGCATTTAGTTGTTGTGCTCTAATGTTGTCTAAATGTACTTGTATGTTAATTTTGTTTGTATATAATGCTTCGCATAACTAACACCCGATGTCCTCTACAAAGGACACACAATAAAACAAAAATAAAAATAATTTTATTTTTATTTTGCTAGTCATTATGTTAATACCACCCTAAAGACTTGTGTGATGTAAAAAAAAAAAAGGACATTTGAAACCTTTTTCTTTCTGGGTCTCAGGAGATATATATATCTGCTTTTTTGTTATTTCAATATACTGTTGGCTTTTCTCAAGTCATTATTCGATTTCTTAAACGTTGTCACTTATTTGAATATTTTCAAAATGCTTTGCTTAGTATTTATATATATATATAATCGTTTTTCTTCTCTTCAAAAGCAGCATGAAAATTGACCTAAAAAGTGGAACGCAAATATAAATGAAGACTCAAAACTTAAATGCAGAGCTGACCTTCCATCCCAGGTCGCTGAAGCTGACGTAGAGTTCATGTTTTTTACAGGGCTGAGCTCCGGTGTTAACAGGGCTCCGATCTGAACAGAGAAGGAAAAAACATTTAGTTACATCAAAGTAAGTAATTTGATTTAATAAAAGTGAAGGGGTTCAATATAGGACTTTATATTTTGAGTCAACTTTTCTTTTGTAATGTTAAAGTTTAAAGTTGATAAACCACTAATTATACATCATGTGTCACCATGGTTTTGTTTGTACAAAGCTTTGGCAATAGTGTATGTCATTATGGTCATGCCAATAAAGTTATTTGAATTGAATTGAATTAAAAATGATATTACCCCAAATTGAAATCTGCATAATGTAATAGATGTATAGATTTGACAAACTGTTTTCCTTTGAAGAACCCATCTCCACATGACAGAGGATTTCCATATTGTGAAACTTCAAATATCCCAATAGATACAATACATCTCTTTGTAGAATTCCCCATCCTTGTCAAATGCAAACATCTGGTGATATTTGGCCTGATCAACTCAGATTGAAGTTCTCCTGATTCAGTTGTACATGTTTGAGTTTTAGACGTTTCCAGTGAAACAAGATTGAATGGTCTAAAAATGTTTATTTTTAAAATATTATGGAATGGGTGCTGCCGTTGCCTAGCAACCGTGACACGGACCAGTCTTTTGCTTTTGTACTTTCATCAGATGATGACATCATAGACATCATTTTGGAATGCCTTTGGTTTCAAAGCCATTTCCAAATGATGTCATCACAGCATTCTCAGAAGTTTGCAAAGAGGACCCACATTCAGATTCCACTAGTTTGAACACACCAGCGCATACCAAACATTTACAGAACACTTCTGAGATTATCTGCAATATTATTCAGGAACAATACCATGGATAGACAAGGAGCACCACAGACAATGGACACACTGGAGGTTAGGGTGGATAATGTTCGTCCCCAGGTGGAGAACTTCTATAAAAGCATAACTAAAGAACAGTTGCAGTTGTTAGATATCGGCACCCCGGATGACGCAACTAAAGTTTTGTTGGCAGAACTTATTTTAAGCATTGTAACATCTGTGACTTCACACTTGTTGAAGGGTATTGTGAACACAACTATTGTTGTGTCGGAGGAGAGTATTGTGTTAAGTATGGGCACCACACTCACTCAGAGTGTTGCCGACGTCTTGGGCTTGAAGGAAGGAGTGCAGAGTGTTAGCTCGGAGCGCTTGAAAATCTTGATCAGTAAAGAGGTTGCAAGAAGTATCGTCTCTTCCCTCACCACTTTGCACTCTGCAGAGTTTACAATAAGCCAGCATGTCACTCAACCTAACAAACTTAATACTATGGTTGGTCATGCCACCAAAATGTTAAAGGAATTTGCCGCCAAGACGAGATTGTTGTGCTCTCGACCAAAAGAACACTTGTTGCTGGCAGAATCAAAAAATGACGAAGATATGAGGCAGGCAAGCAACAGTGCAAGGACTGAGACCCCAGAGAATAGCTCATCCCCTGGCAGCTCTGACTCTGCAAAAAGTAAAACTGTCCAGGACATAATCAACAAGGAGGTGAAAGAGATCATTGGACCTCTTCTGACTCCTGTGTCTGATACTGACTCCGAGGTTGTGCATTCTCAAAGCTCTCAGGAGAGTTCAGTTCTTGCAGACAATATTGCAATGGCAATAGCTGAAGGACTGGAGGGTTTCGAGGAGATGGCAGCAACCCCAACATCAGGAAGAACAGATAAGAACAAACTTTCTTTGGAAGATATAGAGCGCAAGATAAGGAACTTTTTTACGAAACACTTTGCAAAAGCATGGATACTTCGCATTTTTGCACAACTGAAGGCTACATTTCAGAAGGGCTCCAAAGCTGACAGCAGGTCCACAGTGCAGTCACTTATGGATGATGTAGATCGTCTGCTTCAGCCAAGGGATGGGAAAAAAACACAGGTTGGAGATCAGATTAGTGTGTTCAAGGGTCTTACCACTATTCCCAGTGCTGGAGTCCTTGTGTTCACAAAGGAACTGACTGATATCCTCCTCTCATACCTCCTCAAACATGAATTGCCTGATGTTTTCCCAAGACAAATGAAAAAGCAGGCACCTCGCACATCAGTGGCTCCTCAGCCCTCAACTCACACTGACACATTAGTGTCACATGCGGAGATGCGTATTGAGGTGCAAAACAAAGTGTGGGATTTCATGGCACTCATGAAGTGGTGGCGGAAAACTCAGGTTGGTGGCCACAGTGATAGAGTACGAAGTGCCCTTAAGGACAGCCAGTCACTGGTACGAACATCGGTGAGAGTAGTTGAAACGTCCAAGGAAACAAAAGCGGCCATCAAAATAATCTTGCAGAGGCTGGTTTCGCAGGTTTTTATGAAAGCTAAAGTGGACTGCGCCCTTGAAAACGTTAATGACATCGTTAGTCGTCTGTTTGAGAAAACAGTGGCCGATATCGAGTGGGTTGATTTTGGTACCAAACCTGGGGCCTTGAAAGATCTTGACAAGGCCATTTTCCGGGACCTATGTAAGGTGTACGGCTGCGCGGAAAAGGTGCTCAGCTCTTTGTACTTAGAGGATCCTGCACTGGAGAAACACATTGCCGGCATCGCCACATATCGGCTGACGACAACACCAAGACAGGGTAGCCACATCTGCAGATTCTTCTCCTCAGTGGGCAGAACCATCTCAGATGTCTGCAGGTAAGGGTCTTGTATTATTTAAGTGAAAGGGTTTTTGGAGGTTTACACCGGGTACTCCGGGTTCCCTGTGTTCAATTCATGAAACAAAAACAACAGCAATCCCGTTTTTACTTAGTTTGTTTTCTGACTACCGCTGTATGTTGGGTTTTCTCCAGAATATTCTGGTTTTCCCGCGTTCAATTAATTTAAACATCTGATTAATTAAACAAAAAAAAATTGCTTTCATCTTCAAGGAAAAGGGATATTGAATAAATGAACCCTTTAAATGTCTTTTTTGAGGTGTTTCAACCAAACACTTAAATACATAATCAAAAATAAAATGCAACTAAATAACTTAAAAGCATGCTGTTTAGTATTTCTTACACATTCCTTAACATCAGCTTACACAGCCTGTAATTGTAGTGAGGACACAGAATGTAATTATACATACGTGAACACAAGTATCACTTTTCAACTGTGCTCATTCAGAGGTGTGTGTGTGTGTGTGTGTGTGTGTGTGTGTGTGTGTGTGTGTGTGTGTGTGTGTGTGTGTGTGTGTGTGGTGTGTGTGTGTGTGTATGCAGTGTACGTACATGTTCATATACAGGTTTCAACATGTATTTTAATGTTTTTATTACAGATTTTAGAAGTGAATTTATAACCTGATATTTAAAGAAATAAACATCCATTTATATATGAGTTACATGTGTCTGTGTCCATTTCAACGTGTCTTTTTATGAGTCTGTTTTAAGGTTTTCCAAGTGTTACTGTATTATTTTTATAGGAAGAAAATAACATGTTTTGTGTGTAAGTGTGTACAGTGGCGACTGGTCATTAGGGGCAGGTGCACAGCCCCACCTAGTGTCAGCAGAAAGTATTAAAAATAATGATTACAAAAAAATGCAAAAAGTAAATTATAAAATATATTTTAAGATCATGTTTAATCATCTGATTCGTCTGTACATTGCTGTTTTAGTCTGTGTTCTTCTAATTAGTGTCTACAGTGTGCCTATTGAGCTGTTTAGAGCCATGTGGGACAAAACCCGATCATGCCCCTCCCTCTCACTGTCTAAGTCAATGGTGACTGTAAAAACGACACTGCGCATGCTCAGAATATTTTCCTGTTTAATGTGTGTGGCAAACAAATAATGACCATAGGGGCATAGTGCTGCCATCCCCACCATACGTCATCTCACATAATTCAGAGCTGATTGGCTGTAAGTACGTGTGCCGCGAAAAGTGTGGTGTGTGAAGAGGAGACGAGAGAGCTGTAGTGACGCATCCTAAAACCCGGAAGTAAGCTGCGCATGGCTTCCCTCGACAAAAAAGCAATGAGATTTCTCCATAGGATTTTAGAAAATAACTCCAAATAAGATCTGTGGGAAACAAACCTGTTAGATAAATGCACGTTTTGTTCAGCTGGATAATATCCACATGTCTACCCTACTTTTATAATTTTCGAATCATAAATCTATTGATTAGATTAGATTTATGATAGACTTTTGAAACTACAAGAACATAAGGAGGACCTTTACAAAAAAGTAAGAGATTTTTGTCCAGAGGGATAGGCAAATGGACTTAATCTTCAAGTCAAGGTAAGACTGCAATTTTATTGAAAATTGGATCTTAGAGAGAACAATTCAATATTTAAATGATAAAATTACATTTTTTGGGTATCCTTTTGTTGAACTGTCTGTTTAAAATTAATTGAAGCATCAGACAAAAAAAGCTTTTGAAAATAATATTATATTTTGATTTAGGTCAAAATATAATATTTGTAAACCTGAAGATTCAGTGCCAGTGCCTCACCAGCCATGCACCTCACTGCAGAAGCTTATATATAGACATCTAAGTTTTTTGTGCCCCACCACTTTTGTATATATAAAAAAAAAACGCCACTGAGTGTGTAGTAACAAGAACTCAGATATAATTTGCATTCCAGTTTGGTTCTCACAGGGGACAAGTCCTCCCTTGTGACTGAGTGTGTTTTTGTGAAGCTGAGTGTCCCTCTGCAAGACATTAACGTGTCTCGGGGGGCAATACCCGAGCCTGTGTGTCTCTTCTGGGATCATGGGATCAGAAAAGGACTCCGAGTCGCCTCACTCCTCGGTGAGCGGCATCCCTAACCCTAAGTGCCGTGCGGCTGGCAAACGCCACGGCCGCATCTCCTTCCACAGCCTCTTCCACAGCAAACGGGGTGCCAGGGGTCCCAAAGGAGCAGCAGCCACCCCTTTATCCCATCTACACCAACATCACCACACACAACAACCGCTTCTCCCTTCTGCCTTGAGCTCAGCACCCCCTGCAGCCTCTGCTACTCCCACAACGACCACCGCCACCACGACCCCCCAGGACGCTGCCTCCGGCACGCCCTCAGAGCCACTCTCCTTCAGCCAGCCGTCCCTGGATGGAGCCCCTTCCTCTGGGGATGCCAGCCTCCTGGAGTGCCCCCTGTGCCTGGCTGGTTCCCTTTGTTGGTAGTGATTATCATTTTTGAAAAATAATTAGATATATTTTTAATAATTACGATGTTTCCTTTATTATAGCAATGCTTTTCACAGCTTAATCTCATTTTATTTTATGTTAATAAAAAAGACATTCAGGAACATTCAACATGTCTGTATGCTGTAAAGCTAGCTTTCTTTCCTGAAATTAAAATCAAAATAGTTTATCCTCACTGAGGGAATGGATTTGGAACTAGCCTTTTAGATTAAGAGATATATTGGTATATCTTAAATAGTAAGTGTTATGGAAATAATTGTCATAGACGCCAAGATGTAACATACAGGACAAACCTTGATGTCTGTTTACCTTCTTTAAGGACACAGGCTGCTTAGCCAATAATGTTATTGTTCCCATTCTGTGACCGGTCAATACTGGGTCACAGATGGTCTGTGTTGTGGGTACACTGGGACACTTCCTTCTCTGTATTTGTGGACTCCAAGGTGAAATCTTCGAGGTCATAAGTGTCCGACGCAAGTAGCTCAGTGTTCCCACACTGTTTAGGCTATCTTCTCAAATATGTTGTTTACTCTCTGCGAAACCAGTTAGATGGGCTGGCAAGAGAGAGGCTCTCCATAATTGACGTGGCAACTCTACCGTGAAGTCAGAACCTCTGACTCTTGGACTTGTGATGTGAATCCTCCGGCCGTAACTCCAAATAAACCATCATGTGTTTGACATCAAAGCTACTGCTCCTACCGTGTCTCCTTCCTGAGTCGGTGACTCCCACTGCATAGCTACACAGAAGTTTCCTCTACAGTAAGCGTTCATCTTTTGAGAATCATTAAGCGTGACTATGATCATTTTTAAAGCAGAAACAACAAATGAACTAGTAGAAACTTGAGTTCATAGGATGAATACACAGGGCCCTGCTACAGCCTCACTCAGTGTGGCAAACCAGTAGCATAAAGTTGCTAATAGGCGCATTCACACTGCGGTACTTTTCCCACAAAGGTTCATGTGAACTTAGTTCCTGTGAACTCTTTTATCGCGTTCACACCAAAAAGAGCCGGTACTAAAATTAGTTCATGTGAACCTTTTTACCCCCTTGAAAGTCCCTGCTAGAGAGCAGGGACTTTCGAGCAGCTCTTTTGTGAGAAAAGAGCTACATTTCTGATTGGCTGGAAGGATTGCAAACCACGCCCCGCAAAACTCCCAAAAAGTTTTGTGAAGCCGCCATTTTATTATCCTCGCATTAGCATTATTAGCATTAGCCCAGCGCAGAAACGCAGAGAGACTAATTTATGGCAACACAAAATAAAACATGGGAGTGGTGGAGATGAGGAGGTGTCGGCGTTCTGGCGATTTACTGACTCCCAGCAGCTTCTACTGAAGCCAGTCCCCCGGGGACTTCCGGCCGGGGACTTTGGGCGGCAGTATACGCCGTGAAGTGGTTTGCGGCCTGCCAGTAAACCCAAAGCAGAAGAAGAACAAGTGACGTCAGCGGCTTCATTTGCCTAATCCACCCACAGGGACTTTTTCCAGTGTGAACGCGATCTGTACTTAGTTCATGCGAACTAAAGAGTTCACATGAACCTTTGTGGGAAAAGTACCGCAGTGTGAATGCGCCTATTGTTAGCATCAAACTTTATTAAATCACATTATTGAGTTAAAGGTGGGTTAGGTAATTCACTTCAGAAACACTTTTTGTTATATTCCATGGAATGCTCTTAACATCCCGATAGCAATGAATACATTAAATGCTTTGACACTAAATATATACAAACATTTAATCTGTGGAAGCCGTAGCGCTGTAAAAAGCACGACCAATCATCTGAGCCGGCCCGACTAAAATAACTAGATGGCCTACCTGCCTGTCAGCCTTCCATCTGTGCACACATTTATCTCGTGCCCTCATTGGTCATGTGCGCGTTCGTGTGTGTAGGAGGAGGGGCTCTGTAAGGAAGTGGCAGATTTGTATCTGCTGCGTACTTTCAAATTCTAGCGCACTCGAGCTGGTTTCTCCATTACCCTACCTTTAAATCAATACATGTATAACGTTTCTACTTGAGTTTAAACAAACTGTCTATCTCTATTTTCATTGTCTGCTGATTTGCTTCTGGACGCTCACTTTGAATGCTGGGAACTGGGAGGTCGTATTTGGGTTTCTTCCTGCGAGGATGCGGCTTGACAGCTCGTGGCGGGCGACACGGGACCTGACTCTCCCTGAAGAAGGTCACCATGAAGGGCTGCTTGGAGCGGGGGCCCCTGCGGCCCACCAACCCGATCCAGCCGGCAGACAGGGAGCGGTCTAGGAGAGGGCACAGGAATATGAATAAAGTTCAGTCTGTCGTAGTGGTAGGAGCTATTTAAATCAACCATTTACAATCATCAGGGTGTAAATCCCCAGCTGAGTACGTCACATAGTGATGGGCTGATGAAGCCTCATGAAGTGACATCTGGTGGCTTGTAAAAATGACAGCAGCACTTAAAGATAGGCCAAATCTCAAACAGCTTGATCATTTGAATGGTTTTAGTCATGGTTTTTGGTCTTGCATTTTGAAATCTGTTATGGTTTTGATCTGAAGCGCCAAACATACATTATTTTGGTAACACAAAAACTAAATGTACATTATTGGAAAAGGTAAAGCCCATAGTCTCCACTCTGTGTTCCTGTGTTTTAACTTCATGGTTGATATTTATATAACATTTCAAATGAGTCTCTATATAATGTTACAGGAGATAAAAATTCAGATAATTATTATTTGATATTAAAAAGAAAGGTTCTCATACTAATGATGATGATTTTAAAAACATGTTTTACTATATACCGGCACTTCATTTCATTTGCTGTGATAAAAGCATCCGCTAAATGAAATGTACCTACTAATGTGCGGAATAGAGTTTATCTGTAAAACTGAAATACTAGCTTAGGTTTATCAGTGTTCTCTGCTTTTGTGCCCATCTATTACTTTACACCACCTAAGCGAGGGTTGTAATATTTACTTTTGCACTCACCCTCCTCTGTCTCCACATACAGACGTATGCCCAGGTTGCTGCGCGGGTGGAGCAGCCAGTTGTTGGAGGCCGTGGTGACGTCGAAGGCCAGCCAGCCCTCCTGTCCTGCGGGCACCGACTGCATGTCCAGCAGCACCAGCTCCGGCTCTCTGAGAGAATACACAGGAAATAATATCAATGATTTTTAAAAAGCTGAAAGTGAAGGACATATAAGCCATTCCTCTTATAGATCTCCTATCATGCTATTTTTGGGCGTATATTATGGGTCTCAGATATATACAAATATATAAAAAACATGTCTATGATGTGTTTTGCTCAAAACACCGAACAGATTTTAGAGATCCCTCATATCCCTCTATTTCAGCCCTTTTGATTCTCTGCTGGCCCCGCCCCCTTTTGAGCAGCAGCCACACTGTGACGAGCTGCTCAGATGCAGCTAAATGCTGAAGGATTATTTCTGAAACAGTATGGAGCTCAAATGCTTATTTTCTTGGGTAGACAAGGTGAGTTCCTTTCTTTATTTCCTGGTTTTTTACACACACTCTCCAGTACAGGTTAGCTCTGAGTGTTAGCGATGCTTGCTAATGTAAAAAGACCATATTACGCCCAAAACACCTCGCGCATTGTTTCTGATAGCGACGTTTCTGATAGGGCCGTGGGTGTAAAGCCAGCCCACATTGCCGATATTACGTCATATCCGTTGTACCCTCGTTTTTAGAGATTTGGGTATGGAGGAAAAGAGAGAGGATTTTGTTTTCTGACACTTTATGAGTTCCCTGACACACCGGGGACACATAGCCTATGTATGTATAAAAGACATCAAAAAATGCATTTTGCATAATAAGAGACCTTTAACTCCTAAAATCAGGCAATATTACTAATGATTAGAGTTTAATACTTAAAAGTAGGCTAATCTTAATATAAAGAGGAGTCCAGAACTTTTAAGAGTAGATCCTAGATTGCTACAGAAACAAAGGTAAGCATACACCTGTGCCATGGTGAAAGATGTATTCAGATCCTTAACTTAAGTACGATTACAACACTGTGAAAATACACCTCTAGTCGTCAAAGGCATGCATTTAAAAGCTTACGAAGGTGCTGTCACAAAAATGAATTAAAGGCATCAAGAGAACATTCTCTCTATTCTTTCTGCAGTAAAAAGTTCCCTGTCAGTGTTCACCTGTGTCTGTTGTCTCTCTGGATCTCGTAGACGGAGATGTGCAGGGTCCGGTTGGCCCTCTGGCCCATCGTCAGGGTCTTATAGATCCTAAACTCTGCTGCCGTCACCGTCTCCCCCTGAGGAAGGGGCGTCAGGTCGAAGCGAAACTCCTTCCAGTACGGACGAGGCTGCAGGAGGTCTCGCTCCTGCTCCACTGCAGAGGCAGAGACACATTATCGTACATACTATGTATCAATAGTCATATATAGCAACTACTCTTAATGGGGTCCACATAACTAAACACTACATCATAATGTAAAACACATTTTAATAATTATTTTTACAAAAACACTTAATCAACACCATAAGACAAACTCAAGATAACATGTACCAACAGTTCACTTGATCTAGATTGGCCAGTATAACATGTTATACTGCTCAAAACAATAATAGTATGAACCCTCACCCTCAGTGTGTGCTGTGGCTGATCAAATAAATGAAATAAAAATAAGAAAACATATTTATATGTGTTGTACTTTTTAAACAAGTAGTGCTTAATTATTCAAAACTGACAGAGACCTGGTGAACAATGACATTCATACAAAGGCTAATAGATTAATAATGTGGTCACTGGTCATTAAATAAAAAGTCAGACTGTCTTTAAAATCCAGCCTACAAATAAATCTATAAAAAAGCAGGGATAAATACAAGTCAGAAAGATCAGGTGGGAAGTTTTGTTGTTGATCAAATGTGTTAGAAGAGACACAAGAGGCGTGAGAGGAAACAGAAAGGGGAAAGTCTTAGTTTGAAACAGATGTAAGAGGACACTGGAGACAGAGAGTAACAGAGTGAAGGTGTGGAGGAGGTGACATCACCGGGAGATGAGTCAATGACACAGAGGAAGGATGAGTATTCCTCCATTACTTCAGAAAAACTGGCAATACAATGATTGAAAAGTACTTCAAAAGGGGTCGTAAATGATATACTTCAAAGCATACTGTGTACTGTGTAGTTCATTCTTAACCATCAATACATTGTGAGATCATTTAGTAAGTTCACTTAGATATCAGGAAACATTTAGTGGAGTAAAAACAACAATATTTATTTCCGAATTATTTTGAAGCATAAAATGGAAATAGTTACACATTTTGGGGAATACACATTCAGCTTTTTTATTTGTTTGTGAGGAGATATCTAATATATTTAGTTAACATAGAGCTAGAGTGTAAGTTAAGTTTAGCGTGGGGATTTTGCCCCTGTTACCAATACAAATAAAGATATTGAATGAATGACTTAGAGTATTTCTACAGTGAAGTTTGGATACTTTACTGAAGTAACTTTTTGAAATGCTTCTTCTACCAGTGTTCCACTTCACTGAACCGTATGAAGGTGCAGTGTCTTTCATAAAGGCACCTCAATGGCTGCTGTTTGACAGATTAGAGAACGTGTGATGTTCAACTTCATGTGGCCCTCTGTTAAAGAAAAATATGGAGATCCAGAAGAGTGCTGGCAAACGCACACCATCCTACACCCATTATAAATATGAAGCCATGCAGTGTGTGTGTCCTTGTGGAACCCCACAGGGACACGAAAGGCTTCTATGGGCACTGGGGTTTGCACATAGACACACACACATAGACACACACATATACACACACATACACATACACACACACACACACTGAATGGTTAATAGAGATACTAAAGACAGGACATCCCTGATGGTTTGGGCGTGCTCATATCAGGACACACACACATACACACAGCAGTAATTAGAGACACTTAGTGCTCTGAACCGCAGCAGCTGCTCAGCACACACACCACTAATTGCAGCCCTCTTGGTATTTTTAGAGTCGCTCCCTCCACAGCAGTATTTTCAACTCGCTTTTTTTTTTTTCTCGGTGTGTGTCAGCGGGCCTTTAATTCTAACCAGCTGTGTCTTACCATTACATATGCGTAGGAACACACACCCATGCCTGTTTGATTCAACTTACATGAACTACACACACTGATTACATTTCAGTCAGACAACTCACGTGTTCCTTTAACATATTTATTAGAAGCAGCATATAGTTGAGTTTGGCGACTAGGCTCGGGCATCATCACTCCATAGATATACATAGCACCATGAGTGATGATTAAATAACTAACCCCCGAGCCTACAGGTGGAAGCTGGGGTGGTGGTGGGGCAGCAAGCAGCAGCGACGTAGAGCTGCAGCATAGCAGCAGCAAGCAATGCATGGAGAGAGATCTGCAGGTTCAATAGAGCGGGATATTAAGGAGACTCTGTTTGGTTGGTTGTAGAGTGGCAAGGGGCGTTATGTATGAATGCAGCACAGGTGCTCGAGTTGACTGCCTGAACTAGCTCGCAGGCTTCGCCCCATTAGTGACAGAAAAATAAACTGTATAAAGCATATCTGCAGGATATCATTCAACAAGTGCAAAAGCTCTATGGAAAACTACAGTTGGGACCATCTGAGCAGTGGTGGAATGTTTCCAAGTTCTTTTAACTCAAGTAAAGTGCTTTTACATTTTCAATTTATATCACTTTATACTTCTACATCTCCAGATTTGTGAGGTCAAATGTGCTTTCCAGTTCACTAATGTGACAGCTTTAGCTAGATTGCAGATATAGTTATTAATAAAATACGTAAATCAACAAATATGTTAGTTAATATTTTTGAGTTCTTGCTACCCAGCAGTTTATGAAGTTATTGAAATAAGCTCCATCTTCACCAGATGAAACCCTCAGGTGATATTAACAGTTATGCATCAATGCTGATGTTATATATCAAATACATTTGAAATAGGCCTTTCTGAATCTTGAGTACCTTTACTGTTGATACTTAAAGTATATGTTGACGCTTATGCTAAAATTGTAGGACTTGTAACAGAGCATTTTTTACATTAGAGTATTGCTACATTTACCTTAGTCAATTATCTGTATAACCAAGGCAAGGCAAGTTTATTTATATCCACTGCATACAAGTCAGATAACAAACATATTTTCAATGACTATGAATGCAAGTTATATGCAAATACACAATTAACCTTGTAGATGCATCTCATGTCCTTGAGTCTCTGTGATGTGTTCAGCCACACTTCTGTAGAACTGTACAAAGCTCCACCGTCTGAAGGGAAACCCTGGCGTGCGCTGTGGGATTTTATTGAAGGCGTGAGTCACCTTTGTTTACAACATCGTTCAGTTAGGAGGATGAAATGCACTGTGAAGTGTTGACTGATTAATTTAAGGCCTGCATTTTCTTCTCCAAAACAGAAGAGGATTTCAGAAAAAGGAAACCCTTCATTTGATGCTCATTAGAGACACCGAGCACAGAGATGTTTCCCACGGCAACTGGGTGGAGATCACCATCCAATTCCTAAAGAGCTGGAGGAAGGAAGCCATTGAGACAAGGATGTTTAATTTTGTTATGCCATGACAGATAGGCATCAGTCAGGCTGCTGGGAGCTTTGGACGGAAACCAAAACAGTCCCAGGATCTGGGTGTTCAACAGTATTTATAATATATTTAGGGAAGCATATATATCATTATATTTATGTATGTCTTTTAGTAATGTTTCTGAGACAGCTTGTATATTATCATTTGACCACTCAACAGGATGAAAGATTAGCAATGCGTAGTTTGCCGCAGCAGCGAGGGTGGTGGAATGCTGGGTGGAAACGGAAACCTACCAATATAGTTCATCCCTACTGGCATTGGTTTTATCCTCTCTGTAGGGGTGAATGTTTGTGGGCATTTTCAAAGCGAGGAAACTGAAACGGTAGCAGATGACAGAGTCAGTGTCATCAAGTTCACAAGGTGTAATTTCATCCTCATAAAGTTGCCCTTTGGTAGCCGAACTGTGGAGTCAAACTGCTAATTCAATACTGATGATGTTTCTAAGAAGTAGTTTTCCATATTTAAACTACAGTTTTTGCTTACTTGCCAAACGTTAGAATAGAAGATTGATACCACTCTCATGTATGTTGGAAAATATAAAGCTAGTAGCCATTTATCCTATAGTTTAGCATAAACATTAGAAACACGCGGTGCCAGCTAGCCTCTCCTAAGAAAACTACATTTGCCTACCACCATTTCTAAAGCATAGTCATTTGCATGTTACATTTGGTTTATTTTATCTGTACTGTACCCAAACAGAAATGTAAAAACAACATGTGTGGTTTTACATAGGGTTATGTGTTTGTCTGTGGTTGGTCGCCTCCGGCCAAGTGATAGCAGGAAAATAGGTATAGCTACGCTCTTAAACTACAAGGTTCGGCGATTTTTGGATATATTCAACAAACAAAATAAAACAATAAATAAAAGAGCTTTCGAAATGCTGGCAGGTTGCTTATGTTAACCTTCAAACAGAGCTACAAACAGCTAGCTGCTTAACAGGATAAGCTAAGGATAAGCTAAAGCTAAGCTAAACTAGTCGCTTGCTGGCTCCGTCCTCGCCTCTTTTATTTATTTTACTTTAATGTTTCAGCTGGTCAAGGTGGAACTTATTTCTACAACTATATTGCCCCTTTCACACCAGCGCTTTTTCAGCTCCGACTCGGAGCTGGAGCCTGAAAAGCGCCAGTTTTTCCTGTTCACACCGCAGCGGCGCCGGCTCTTAGCTCCGGAATCCGGTTCACTTCCAGCTCCAAAAAATTGTCGGTCTAGAGGCAAGAGCTTCGGAGCTAAGAGGTGGCGTCGCTTACGTCTCTCTTACGTCGAGGCGTGCAGGAAACTAAACCCACCTCCCCTGAACATGGGTCGACTGTCATGCCTGCCTAGAAGCAGTAGTGCTTATAAACACACTTTATAAAGTCAGGCAACACTAACCAGGCTTCGTGTGATTCTGTTTATTTGTAGGCCTACCTTACTTTGACCATCCGTTCACTGTTATTGATCATTGTGGAGAGAGGCAGACGTGTTGTTTTGTATTATAGCAGCTATCGGATGGAATCAATACATGGGCTGCACAGGTTGTCGTGTCCGACTATCACAAGTAGAATCATAATAAAAATACGCCGGTAAAATGTGCCTGTAGAAAACGGTTTATGCCACAATAGGATAGCAATAGCAAGTAGTCAGTTTAGCTTCGGTTGCTATGCTAACATCACCCATTTTATACCAGAGAAACTTTCATAACAGCGTTGTGATACCAAACCGCGTCAATTCAGACTGACACACATTCACTTAGGCTAAGGGGAACTGGGGATATG